CAATCATTCGTTTTGGATAGTTTTTCTTTTTAAATATTTCCGTTAAGTTGGTCGAAGAATTAACTTTGTCTAGAGATAGCGATTTATGAGCAATTTTATAAAAATGAAGTTTTCCAGAGTTTTCCTTAATTTTTGGAAGTTTTATTTCAAGGCAAGATAGACTAATCTTAGATGTATTTATTCTAATATTTAAACTTTGGAAAAGAATACTTTCGTTCATGTCCGCCTGGTTGCCCACTGTGCGTCTATTACTATATGGAAGTGATCTTCGGTTAAATTTATTATTTGATTCACAAACCGTATATATGGATGGCCCATTCTCAAAAGCACCACCACATTTCATGCAAGTTTTCATTATTCATGCGATTAATTTTGATACATATAAGAAAAATAAATATCACTTTCTGAAAATATTTCTAATTTTCTCTAGGTGTACCTTGTGTATTTGGACTGATGATTAATAAAAAAGGTACAACTTATCGACAAATGTTTTTTGGGCTCAAGCAAATAGCTGAAGAACGTCACAAAGACTTTTCACCTCAATTAATAGTAACAGATTTTGAATCTGGCGCTCTACCGGTCGTAAAGACAGAAGTAAATGTCTTGTGTTGATACAATACATTTCGACATTTTTTTCTAGTTTCCTTCATCTAGACATTATGGATGTAATTTCCACTTTTGTCAGGCAATATTTAGACAGATTCAACAACTAGATCTTCAACAACAATATAGTAGAGATGAAGTTGTACGTGGTCTTTGTAGAAAAATCATGTCTCTGGCAATGATGCCGATAGACACAGTTCTTGTTGGCTACGATGAGATTCGAAATGATGCTCAACAACTACCTGGTTCACCAATCGAACCATTGTTAAACTATTTCGAAAAACAATGGTTGTCTGACATCAATTGTGGAATGTTTCAACCACGAGTTCCCGTACCAACAATATATGTGAAGATAAGAGTAAGATGGAATCTATTTTGAAAGCGACAACTATACTTTCTCATTGAAGGTTATCATAACAGAATGAACCGCCGCATTTCACGTAATCATCCGTGCATATGGCGGTTTATTCAATTCATGCAAGCTGAGGAAATAAATGTTCAAACAATTATTCTTCAGTGGTCTTCTGGTGCATCGAAAAAACTAAATGTACGAACAACCGGAAAACAAGGACGTATTGATACTTTGTATCAACGATATAATGGTGGTCTAATTAATTCTTCTCAATTTCTTACTGGATTGTCGTATCTCGTGGGAAATAAAATATAGATATAAACTTCATATCAATACATGTTTGCTCCTTAATTCAAAGTCTTTCAGCATTTTATCTTTATTATTCGTATTCTTTTTTTTTCTGTGATTAAGAGCTTTTCAATAAAACAAATATAACGATTTTTCTTCAACGAAAAAAAAATTTTCTATACTTTTCCAATTTTTATCTTTCGATCATTTTACATTTCGACATTTTTTTTCGATATTATTTTGCGAAATTTTTCGGCATTTTTACCATTCGACATTTTTTCTTTCGATCAAACTTGGGTTAACCTCATGTTCATGCTACCAGCAAACATGCGAACGAAACAGATTTTATCGAAATTTATTATTATGATACCAGTTGAATAGTAATCAAATAGCATAGAAAAATAGAGCGAAAGACGCTCTATCTGTTCATAAAAAAAGAAATTTTTTTAAAGCTTTCTGTAAGAAAATAAAGTACCTCCGCCACTACTTTTGGACTGGCCTAAGTAGAAAAGAATGGTACAATCTTCCAACTAGGTTTTAATGGATTCCTCATTATCTTTAATGTCAAACCATATCAGTTTCGCCACGATCGCCAACATCTAAAATCACATCTGTGTCAAAACAATAATCAAATTCGTTCATTAGATAGCAAGAGTGGGTGTAGATGTAAAGGTGCAGAGTGTATAGGTGTGAGCGTGGATATGAAAAGAAAACTCACACCCACACCTGAGGTTGTTTACGAAAGTAACGCTGAACTTTTGAACATATATTAAAAAGATCCATCTGTATGAACAAAGATTTGATAAAATGACTTTTTCCTTGTGTTTGACTAAGCTACTTCTTTATTAGTCAATCTCTTTGCTATTCATATATTTTCAACATACAAGAGAGAAAAATCAAACAATATAAAGCACAAAGTATAGAAAAAAACAAAGGCAGAGATTAAGCAAGGACTTTTCATACTAAGTGTTCTTATTTTGTTTCAAACTAGACTATATAATAATGAAGATGACATCAAGCATCTGTTTTTAAAATGTTAGAAAAAAAGAATGAACGGAAACAAAAATGAAGGATGTACAATTAGAAATAAAAGGATGGACAACGTATACTAGCATAAGGATGCACACACACACATTGTCAAGGTGAAGAAGAACAGACATGGAAGCTTTGAATGCTGTTAGATCAATTTTTAACAATACTTCTCCTTGTCTCTTTAGTGCCATTGGATCAGAAGTAGATATCTTAACTCACTTTCTTATCATTGACCCAATAACCCGATTCTATTTTGCCATCGGCAAAATAATATGTGCCTCGTCCGTGCATCCTGTCATCTCTGAATTGTCCGTCGTATTTATCATCAGCCCACTTCGTTTTGGAACTCCACACATAGATACCTTGACCTGTTCTCTTATCATTAACCCAGTCACCTGTGTATTTGTCTCCGCTAGCGAAATAACATGTAACTCGTCCGTTTTTCTTTCCATTTTTTAATGGTACCTCACATCTTACAGCGTTTGACCGTGTATAGGTGTGGTAGCTTACTTCGCTGTAGGGGTAGTTTACTTCGTTGTTGTGTTAGTTTAGTTCACTGTTGTCGTGAACATCATTTGTTTCTTCTAGAAATAAAAACAGACTCGATAGGTAACTACACATAAAAGAGCTAGATAGAAATATTGACACGGAAACCCTTTTCATTTCTGTACAAATTGAAATCGTTCAATCTTTCAATTTGTGTAATTTAGTGTGACGTTGTTTCGACTTTATGGAGCATATGGATGTGGGTATAAGTTCGAATAAATCAAAGAAACAAAAGCACACACTCCAGACAGCTAGTTCAGAATATTTCGTGTTTAAATTTTTTCCTGTATGGCAAGTTAAGAAAATCTCGTGGGGTTGAGAAATAAACAAATATAACTTTAGAAATAACAAGAAAGTGTATAAAAAAGTTCAATATTGAAAAGCGAATCACTAATAACTCTCCTTTACTTGTATGTTCTTTTCCTTTTTCTTCTTTTGTTGCTGTAGTCTATACTCATATATACATGTTTATTTTCTTCATAATCAATATCTTTGCTAACACACATTTTCATGACTTATTTGTTTAATATGATTTCATAATTTTCAATAGAAGACGACAAATTTTAACATGTTTCCTTGGAAAATTCGATTCAGCTTATTCAAGTTGCATGAAAACAATTTTCGGAGTCGCATTGATTTTATAGTCGTACCTACCAAAAGTCTATATTTGCATTCTTTCACATAGTTATCCCACATTTGCTGAAAGCATAGAATGTGCTTGAAAGATATATAGATTTACCTTTTTTAGATGCCAGTTTCGAAAAGGTCTAAGCATGGGTGAGATTCGAAGCAAAATTAAAAGACAGCGAACTACAAATTAAGAAACAAGATCTTGAAAATAAACTCATTGAATGCGAATACCTGTCGAATAGATCGACAGAATCGCCCAAGCATAATATCTTATCATTGTTCTTTAAAGTTGGAATTATTCACGATCTAAATTTCACACCTCAATCTGTTTTCATAGTTTAGACTTAGTTTCAAAGTCGCTGATGCTCTTGAATGTGCTTCAATGGAGTAAAATACACTCATACAAACACGATTAACATTCTCGTCAATGCAGTATACCTTCAGAAGAATCAAGTTGATTGGTAGCTTCGAATCGTTCGTTAGCCGTCGCAAGAGTAACTCCAGTCAGTACCCGTCGCACAGTGAATGTAGTAGCTGGAAGAACTAAAACAAAGAAGAAGAGGAAAACACTGATCGATATTATACTACACCTGACATCGATTGATAGAAATCATACTGACACTTGCACATCGAGAAACGAGGCAAATAGTCAAAGGCATCAAGACCTGTCGAGAAGAAACAAAACAACTTTTTTGACTGACGTTTCTCAGATGAAACTATGAGAGTTTCATCACAGCTTTTCCTTTAGTAAGGAGTATTATACTTGTTCGAAGTGCTTCGATGTCGGAATTCAGAGGGTAAGAATTGAAAAAAGGCTACTCTCTACCTTGTTTATTTCTTCAAAAAGTCATAAAAATGGCTACAGACTTCCAGCAAAGTAACCTAACAAGAATGAGCTCATGGATGTGCTTAGAGTCTTTTATCTATCTATGGCGCTGCGAAATGCCCTACATAAGATCAGTGTACTTTCTTTAACGTAATTAAAGCAGAATGATTATCATTCTCAAGTTAAAAAAACATGAGTAAGTTGTTTGACAAGAAGATTGATTGATGTAAACATTCTGATAGCTTATTGAAATATGAGAAAGAATCTTCGGATAAAATTTAAAATGCGAAACGATGTGTGAAGATGCGTTTGATTCATTGGGTATTAGTCACTATAATAGATCTCATTAGAAATTTGACAGAGTACATTGTTCATAATGTCTATGCTAGGGTTTAAAGTACGATTTTTCATATTCAATATGCTGCGAAGAATTTCCTTCTTGTGTAACAGTGAATGAGCGATAGAACTAATCGAATCAACCTTTAAACTGGTGCAGTTCCTAGTGTTGAATGTAACATACTTGTTTTCGGTGAATATTTGACTATTGGTCTAGGCGTAGTACTAGATAGCTCCACTTTAAGTTTGGTTGCACTCAAGACAGACGCAGCTTCGAGTACCGTTGCTTGATCTAGAAGAAAACAAAAACATCTTAGTGTAATATTTATGAATTCAGACTGGGAATGTATTGATTAGTAGTAGTACTGGAACAAAGATCAAAAGCCAGCGCGAGCTTGAAATCCAACGATGTTATCTCTTTCATTTCTGAAATGCTGAGAAGACTAAAGATAGTTCGATAGTAGCTTCTAATAAGAGAACAGGGCCATCTGAGGATTCCATTCATTATCTTAAATGTAGAATTATATTGAGTTTATCATATAGATAATGAAACCAGGTTTTTGAAATAACATGTTGTGGATACTGTCAAAAGCATTTCATTAATAAAGTTTCTAGATATCAAACATTCAGTGAGGACCTTAATCAGTAGCCGTGGAGTATTGGTTCTAATCTTGGCGCTCACTTCAATAAACAGAAAAAAATCTCAATGTCAAGCTCTCTGTCTTCCGAGAAGTTCCGAATAAGATATTGTTCATCTTCGAGAATGTACTTTCCTATCCTGAAATTTTGTCAATATGCTACCAGAATATTTTTTATCAACACAGAATTTAGGAAATTACCAGAAATGAGACTCTATCCTAACTTGAATCCTAAGCGGAACAACAGAAAAGACTTTGCTAACATTTTGTTAATTTCTAGTCAGAATGTATTTCGAACTGTGACGAAAAAATCCTATCAAGAACTACCGTTAAATTAGAGAAAGATCTTAAGAAATCTACAACATTGAAGTATATAGCTGGAATTCGAGTTAAGATACGATCAACAAAAACACTCACAGCCACACTAACATCCTCATGCCGTCTATTACTTCTACATGAGAAAGTTTTCGAAGGTACAAAACAAAAACATTTACTGTCAACATGATCATTGTAAGTGGAAAGAACAGTACGCGTGACATTTTTTTTCATATCATGAATGTCACAGTATCTAGTGAAAAGGATGTAATTAATGGTTTGATGAGCTAGCATATCGCTAAATCGTTGACCACTTCCAGTCGAAGTTGTTGATCCTGCACTAGACTGAGAATGAGTGCCATTATATGAAAGCCTTATCTCAATTTTACCAGTTGGAGTATTTGGAAATCGGCCACGAAAATCAGGTAAATTAAAGGTTGTTTTTCCACCTCCAGCTCCATATAATTTACCAATGACAGAAAACAAAAGATAATAGTTAGTGTGAGATAGAGTTTGTCCGTGACAGAACATCCAAGTGCATGGTAGACATGATGCTTTGCCCAAGTACAGTTTTATTTCACCTACGAGTGAACATGAGTATTGTTCAGAAGTACTTACTAATACTTGTGCCACTTGATAAGATTGAGTCAGTAACATCGAAATACCTACGGTATTGTGGTAATCATAGCACACCCCACACCCATACACCCACACCCACCCCACTCACGTTCACACCTAGGTGTGGCTGTTCTGTTTTACTAAATACATACCCATACCCACATATGGATCCATCCAGAATTATTTGAAGCATGACCTTTATTTCTTATCTTATTTCATTATTAGTGATATTATCTTAATAGATCGATCTCAATATTTAAAATCGTAGAAAGTCATGAATAAAGCATGAGGAAAATGCAGCAAACAAATTATGCAAAATATAGAATGATATTTCAGTGAAATTAATTTCCAACTATGTTGAATATAGTGTAGGTGGCATGGATCGCTTGTTTTTTCTACGATCAGTTTTCTTCATCGCTTTCCTCGCCTGTCACTGCATTTTATTTTATTAAAAGAACAAAGAATCAAATATTTACCGTCCAGCGATGGATAGTTACAACTTTGTTATTTTAGAATTTCGTCTCATTAGAAAGCGAGTGGGGTAATGATAGGTATGATGACAAAGAGAAAGAAGAAATTATGGCATTGGATGCCAATAATTTGAAGAGGTTGAACATTGTTAAATGTCAGAGAGTTCCGACTATGTGAACTCTGACGTTGACTGAAGACGATGAAATTATAGTTGGTTATGGTGAAAGAAATGATTTGAATTCAATGCAGATTTTTATCTACTGAGACAATACGGTAGTCTTTAGGTAGAGCGTTGTGAACTCCAATGTAACTTTCGTCTGTCTTGTAAACGTTATCCATAAAAGTGACGTCCGTTTTCTTTCAAAGGGCCGAAAGAGTAGGGTATTGGTAATGTAAAAACCTAACGGTATAACTAAGTAGTTTTGCATTCAATGAGTATTATTTCTAGTTTATAAGTTAGCAGGTCTGTTGTCCTTTGCATAGTGGCAGAGAAAGCGAGCATATGACAAAAAAACTATCACGCTAAAAAGTTGACACTTCGACACTATAATTTTGTTAAACATCTGGATTTAAATTAGAAAATTCTAGAGGACAAGAATCAACGTCAAATAAGAAGCAGAATGTGGTAAGTTTAAGTTAAGTTATAACAAGAAATTCATGTTCTTCGAACTCTTTGAACCACTTCTGTCTATGTTGTTCATCCGGTAACAGCCGATAATATTGTTGATCATCCATTTGGATATACCCAACAAGTCCATGAGTTGTCACAGCTTTACCTGTCTCATTTAATACATTACATTGACGAACTGTTGTATTCTCTTGACTATTATCACTCACGAAGAGACAGAAATGACAACCAAAATTCTTAAATGATTGATTTTTCTTCGATAGATCATTTTCCATTCGCTCATTAACACTGAGCATAAAGTCGTAAAGTGAACGTAATCTCTGAGGCATTTGACTGTAGATGCCAATACGTTGGAATCAATCAAAAAAGGATGTCAAATAACTGCATAAAGAAGATTAGTTCCACTCCTAGAGACATCCTTTGCGCATTACACCATGGATCAGGTGTCATCCAAACAAGACCAAAGCCATTTTGCTCATAAGACTTCAGGTTGAATGAAATGCTTTTCAGACTTTTCACATCTGCCATGGTTTTTTGTTTATACCCACTATATTTTTGTTTACTATTCTTTAACTTGGCTTCAACATTTTTCACATAGGTTTTACCAAGCTATGAAAAGTCGTAAAATGAACAAAGGAATGTTAAATGTTTTATTTCACATTTGTAGAAAATAGAAGCTTTATCCGTGCCTGTCTCTATGCAGGGCTGCAAATAAGAAGTTCGATCTGTGGTAGGAGGGAAGGGGGTAAATCAAAAATATTTTTGGGTGTCTAAAATATATTTACGCTGCGTGTGCCACAAAAAAAGCAGAAAACGTTTTCAGTTAAGCTGATAGGAAACGAAAGCATTTTTCTCGGAGACGAGGGCTTGTCTCTGTGTTCCTCTGGAAAAGTCAGAGGTTTCAAATACTATGCACAAGGCAACTCATCTTGTTGCCTTTCGTTCTAGAATATCTCGGAGAACTTACTGCCATATTCGTTTCTGCTTCACGACAATATTCTTCCATTGGAACACATAGATGACAATGCCAGGGCGTGCCGTGCTCTTGATACCTAGAGAGAGAAATACAACGGTAGTACATTTTTCTGTTTTTCACTCCAAGACTTTTAAGCACATCATACTTACCAGCAACCACGATGAAATGATAAAATCTAGTATGAAAACAAATACAGAAAGAATATTCTCAGCCTTTCAAAAGGGAGGCTTTCAAAAATCGAGTCATTTTTTAGATAGAGAATAACGTTGCCATAACTCTCTTCTGTTTCTACCAGATAGAAGAGTTCATTCAAGTTACAAGCTATAAACAGTCACTCAGTCTAACCTGAAAATTCTAATGGCTTTTGTATATTTAATTTTCTTAAAATGAAGCAGCTACAGATCAAAGTATTTCTTTTTATCTCGTTCTCACTGCGTTTCCTACAAAAAATCTACTTATTAAAGAACTTGATCTTTGAAGACCTAGCAGAAACGGCGATCTTTGTTATTCCAAATCAGAATATTGAATAACCTTTTTCCCACAAAAACGTTTTTCGAAGCAGACTAGAGAGTACTTACAGCTTGGTTATCATATTCAGGCCTGTTTTTTAAGAATTTTGTTACAAAAGACATTGTCTCATCGATTTCAGTGGATTGTGTCGTCTCGTTGACATTTCCTTTTGTTTGCCGAACAATAAAATGTGGGCGTGGGCTGAATCTATCGAAGACTAATTCAATCAAGTCTCCAGCATTTGGAGCGCCACATCTTGGAAACGGAATCGGCACGTAAGTGCTCTGGCGAGTAGTAGCGTGAGCCTTAGATGGTGAAAAAGTTAGATAAAGTGATGGTGCAACTTGAGACTTTAAAAAAATCTTACCATATTTTCTAGAGTTTCAAGTAATAGTTTGTAAAGTGAAACGAATAATGCTTCGCTTATGAAGATACCTTCACGATTTTTACTTATATACCCTTTTTTAACCTTGGGAAAAAACCATGCTTTTTATTTTTTCTGGGTTTTTTCCCTGTTATTATTTCGAATGAATCACTATATAATTTTTTCTGTTCTTACCGCACTCTCTTATCTTCGATATTGCTACGCTCGGGAGTGTTTGCAAAGTGATGAAATTAAATTTTAGCACTATAATATACAAGTATCTAACGTCCATGTGTAACGATTTTTGTTAATCGAACCTAGGATGAGCATACAAGACTTTTCATAGCGTAGGACGTAAATAATGAAGAAAAAGCTGAAAAAATGGAGTAATAATGTAAAATGACGGATAAAAGAAAAGAGAAAGGAGAACAGTTAAAAGCGAAAAAAAGAAAAAAGAAAAAGAGAATCAGGGAGTAGATGAGAGAAAGGCTTTTCAATTGAAAACGTGAGGATTCAGTTTACGAAGTCCATTCATTTTAGTAATAGAGGCTCATGTCTATCTCTCAAATTTTAATTCTTCTCATCCAAAAAAGTGATCAAGGTTATCATCTTTATGTTTTGTGATAGTATCCAAGTAAAAATATCATTAAAAAAGACAGATCATCCTAATTCAGATCGATGCATTTACTTTAATGAGTGTGGCTTGGATGTGGGCGTGGGTGAAGAAAAGACCCATACCCACACCCTTATGCATGTATTCAAGAACTATGAGTTCTGACAGTTTTTTGAATCAATGTTTCTTGTTTATTATTATGACCTTGAACTGTCGTTTTAACAACATTGAAATGTACTGAATCGTGTTTAGATCGGAGTATATGTTGGCAAATTTGTTCATATATATGTCTTCAATGTATGCATAACCATCTTTTTTAATTATTTTCATTGATTCTATCGATTGTGCCTCATGTTGATTCTCTTTAGTGAGAATATAAATAGAATTGATTTTAACTAATTCATACGCACCAAACAAAATCACTATATATATCATACAGTGATCAGAAGTAAATATTTTAAAGTCATTGACAAGTTGTCCTACTTTTGCAATGATCTCACTACTCGTGTTAGATAGATTAGAATAAAATTTTCAGCATAGCGTCTTGGAAATTGCATGAATGCTTTTCTATTAAAAGATATAATAGGAAAAAGTTGTTTTTGTTGCTCTTTTTCTTTTTTTTCGTATATTGCCCATTTAAATAAAAATTTTTTTATACATCGTCACGCAGTCTTCCGTCACATTAAAAGAATTAATTTTAATCATTTTTCGAACAGGAAGAAATGAGATTTTAAAAAATTTTAAATTTATTTTTTTGACGGTACCAGATCAGTCGACATGAATGCTAAATTCATGCTACAATAGTATTTTAGCGCACAATAACTTATTTTGACTCAGGAAATGATTCCTACCAAGTTTACAATCTTGCTCAACACTAACTTCTATCAGTCTTACTATCTTAAAAAGAATTGATGATTTCCTTTTCTTTGGAGATGTTCAATATCCTCGTATTAACTCTAACGAAAAAACATCAGATTATTTCTATTAAAAAAAAATATTCACATGTCTTGACTGTTTTCAGTATTAATAAGACCCCAGTATAATCTAATGTTTTTCTTTTTAAAAATAACCAATTATGTTAAGTGTTCTCAGTCATTAAATACAATTAATCTCTGATATAAATTGAACAATTTTATTTCAAATATATACACTTTTAGATCACTTTTTAAAGTGATTTGTAGATGTCTTTATTTTTTTTTATACAAATTTTAATCATAACTGACAAATATAATATGACTAATATTAAACATCTGAAAAAAAATTGCTACTGATTTGTTTCAATTATTTCATCAGCATCATCTAATATAAGTGTCAGTTCAGTTTGTTCAACAATTGAATCAATATCATGAACATGTACTTTCAGAGTTCGATTATGAACTATTAAAATATTCATAGCAGCAAGCCAAAGAGTTATATTAAGAAATCGTTTCACAGCTTCATAGTGACCATATGTGTAGAGAAGATATTTCCATGTTACTTCTGCATACTTATTTTGAATCTTTAAAATATCAATAGAATTTGTTAAATTGTTCAAGGTATTTGAATAATAACAACAAGTATTTTCAGAGAAAGCGAACAATGAAATTGATAGTTTGACTAATACAACATCTGGATCGATAAATTTCTTTGCCCAAATATGGATATCCATTGTATGTTTTCCATACTTTGCGTTCATAGCCTTTAAGAAAGAATTGAGACCATATAAATGACAATGTTGCATAATGAATGCACCACCCATGCAGCACACATTATCAGCAGCACTACGAAGTATTATGGAACGATCATCATTCCCCTTTTTCGCTTCGTGAAGTATAGTCGCATTTTTTCTCGTCTTATATCGTTACATTCTTTTGCATCAGCCTCCCTAAAAAGATAAGGGAGTAATGATGACTGAAGAAATTAAT